GACACACATGTAAGCGACACACATGTAAGTGACACACATTTGAGCGCAACACATGTAAGCGAAACAAATGTAAGTGACACATGTAAGCGTCACATATGTAAGCGACACACATGTAAGTGACACACATGTAAGCGACCCACATACACACATGTAAGCGACATACATGTCAGCGACAGACATGAAAGCAACGCACATGAGAGCGACACACGTGTGAGCGAGACACATGTGAGCGACACATATGTGAGCGACACACGTGTAAGCGACACACATGTAAGCATCACATGTAAGCGACACACATGTAAGCGACACACAAGTAAGCGACACACATGTAAGCGACAGACATGTAAGCGACAGACATGTACGCGAAACACATTTGAGCGACACACATGTAAGCAACACACATGTAAGCAACACACATGTCAGCGACACACATGTAAGCAACGCACATGAGAGCGACACACATGTGAGCGACACACATGTAAGCGACACACATGTAAGCGACACACATGTGAGCGACACACATGTAAGCGACACACATGTGAGCGACACACATGTAAGCAACACACATGTAAGTGACACGCATGTAAGTGACACACATGTCAGCGACAGACATGTAAGCAACGCACATGAGAGCGACACACATGTAAGTGACACACATGTAAGTGACACACATGTAAGCCACACACATGTGAGCGACACACATGTGAGCGACACACATGTGAGAGACAAACATGTAAGCGACACACATGTGAACGACACACATGTAAGTGACACACATGTTAGTGACACACATGTAAGCAACACACATGTAAGCGACACACAAGTAAGCGACAAACAAGTAAGTGACACACATGTAAGCGACACACATGTAAGCGACACACATGTAAGCGACACACATGTAAGCAACACACATGTAAGTGACACACATGTAAGTGACACACATGTAAGCAACACATATGTAAGTGACACACGTGTAAGTGACACACATGTAAGTGACACACATGTAAGCGACACACATGTAAGCGACACACATGTAAGCGACACACATGTAAGCGACACACATGTAAGCGACACACATGTAAGCAACACACATGTAAGTGACACACATGTAAGCGACACACATGTCAGCGACACACATGTAAGCGACACACAAGTAAGCGACACACATGTAAGTGACACACATGTAAGTGACACACATGTAAGTTACACACATGTAAGTGACACATATGTAAGCGACACACATGTAAGTGACACACATGTAAGTGACACACATGTAAGTGTCACACATGTAAGCGACACACATGTAAGCAACACACATGTAAGTGACACACATGTAAGTGACACACATGTAAGCGACACACATGTAAGTGACACACATGTAAGCGACACATATGTAAGCGACACACATGTAAGTGACACACATGTAAGCGACACACATGTAAGCGACACACATGTAAGCGACACACATGTAAGCGAAACACATGTAAGTGACACACATGTAAGTGACACACATGTAAGCATCACATGTAAGCGATACACATGTAAGCGACACACATGTGAGCGACACACGTGTAAGTGACACACATGTAAGCATCACATGTAAGAGATACACATGTAAGCGACACACAAGTAAGCGACACACATGTAAGCGACAGACATGTAAGCGACAGACATGTACGCGAAACACATTTGAGCAACACACATGTAAGCAACACACATGTAAGTGACACACATGTAAGTGAACTACAACAACCGATAGATGAAAACCAATGTGCTAGATATATTGTTCGTCCATCACAGATGATGATGACCATTGGTGACTGGATTCTGCTTTGTGAGTGCGCAGAGGGTTGATAATGCCAATTCTAGCACCGAAAGTTCTTGAGCAATCAATGTGGGCAGGGAATTAAAGCTGCATCTCTCTGGTGATTTACTTCAGTGTCTTTCCTGGCTTGTCTTTTCTGAATTGCTGCTGCAGTTCTAGCAACTTCATGGGCCACAGCTCCTTGTGCTAGACAACGCAACAGTTAACAATCATGGATATGTTTATCTGGATGAACGATGGATCTAGGGGTTTTCAGTCAAATGGGAAATATCGCTGGAGATCAAAATAGTATGTTTTTATTTAAAACTTCAAGTTTGAGGAGGGAGGCAATCACTGCAGCTTTGAAGACAAGAGATTGTGACAGTCGTCCTGGTGGAAGTCGTGTGTGGGACGCTCATTGGCAGGACTGTCTACCTGGGTGCGGTGTGACTGATGGCTCCCTCGGTGCTCGCACAGATGATCAGAGCAACGGCCAGCGGACAGAACAACCAGCTAAATCCAGGAAAACCAGGACCCCTAAAACCCGCATCTAACTTAGACAACAAATGAAACAAACTTACGTGTAATTGCACACCACAAAGGAAACAAACTCACGTGTAATTGCACACCACAAAGGAACAAACCTAAAATAATATAGCAAAGGAACCATCCTTGATAAAGCAGGCCTTCATGCGGCTAAAAAGGGACTAAACTTGGATTTTTTGTTTGATTTTATATGATACGAAACGAAATGACCCTCCTTTTTCGGGCTGTTCGCTTTACGTGGTTTTGCCTATTTGGGCTGTGATGCGAGACATGTGTAGGACTATTTTCTGTTGTTCAGTCGTTCGTGGTTTTCAATGCAGCATGGACACCAGAGGACTGAATGGAGATAGATAGAATATCTCAGTGATTTCTTCATGGTGGTATGTTCAACATTTATCGTATGTTAGATCCAAGTCTCAATGTGAATTTTGATTCAGAGTAGTGCCTGTAGTTCGCAAACGTGGTCTGGATAGGTGTGGTTTGTGTAGCTATATGTGTGTAGTTAGATGTTAGATAACCGTCTATATGTGTGTAGTTAGATGTTACTATTGCAGTTTTGTTTACTGGAAGATGGTTTGTGTTTATTGTTCAAGTAAGATTCTTGTTATTCATTTCCATAATCATTTATTTACTTACGTCGATTGTCGGCTTGCCTGCGATAGTTAATTGAGCAAAAAAAAGTTTTTGTCAATGTTGACTTACATTTTTTTTTTGGCCTAGTTGGCGGGCCTGGTTTTCCTGTTACTGCTGATTAGACTTCATACAGAACATATCCTGTCAGGGCTAAAACACGTTAGGTCATAGTCCCAGACTAACGAACTTTTCTTTTTCTTGTTACTGAGGCAGCTTGTGTGTGGGTTTGCCTTCTACTCACTACGACACTATTTGTTGGACCTCTTGAAGGCTTGGAGTAGAGATAGGCTCAAGAAGTAGATTGTTATATTATTCTTCATTGTGTCTCCTCCCTTTTCCTTACAACTAAATTCCTCTTAGGCTTGGCTTCTAGTACACTCAGGAACAAGATGGGGGTGGGGGAGAGGGGGTTATGGCGCTTTTACATGATGATGATGATAATTCCAGGAGAGGGGGAGCATTGAATGATTGTTTATTAATTTTTTTTCCCTAAAAATGCGGTGGTAGGCCCAGAAGTTTGGAAAGCTCTGCTTTAAATCAGTAACAAAGTTTGTAATCTACAAGCTTTCAATATTGGTTGCAATATTCTTTATTATATGCATATTCCAATCCGTGGTTGTTGCTGTTTTTTTTTTTTTTTTTACGTGACAAATAAGAAAATATATGTCGAGGTGGAAGGAAAGAAGAGAGGAAGAAGAAGAGGCAGAAGAAGAGGAAGCGATAAGAGGAGAAGATAAAGATGATGATGATCATAATGATGATGGCGATGATAAAGTAAGCTGACGTGAAGTCCGTTTATTATTTTCATATCTTAATTTTTAATATGATGTGTGTATGTGTGTTGTTATGTCTTTATTTGTGCATGCTAGCTGCACACATTGTTTACAATAATGAATTATTTTCTCGTAATCATTTTTTTTTTTGGTCAGAAAATCGTTACTTTAACTTTCCTGAATATCGTTTCACCATTATCATGCGTCGCGCTGATAAACCTGATTAAGTCACACGATCATCAGAATAAAGGATCAGGTCAGTGTTCTTTTCTCTCCGCCCGTCCCTCCCCCCCCCCCAATGCATCTGGCCAAGTCATCACGGCATTATCTCCTTGATTGCCTCTCTCTCTCTCTCTCTCTCTTTCTCTCTCTCTCTCTCTCTCTCTCTTCTCTCTCTCTCTCTCTCTCTCTCTCCTTACCGGTGATACCAGTTGTCACCAAGTTCTCTAATCCACTCCTTCTCAAAGCATGTCTGATAAACACCGAGTGATAATTTCTCTAACTAGTTTCAAGTGTTCATTTATCTCGAGAACGACTGTCTTGTTGTTTTGTTTTTCACTCCATGATATCTGTTGCATTCTTTTCGCAAATCAGGTATTCGATGGGAGTAAGCCGTTGTTATGAAGTGCCTTCTTTGTTGAACGTTTGTCTTGTCACTACGTCCTTTGCAGACTCTAATATTCTTCGCTAGTTTTCCTGCTTTGTCACGTCTAGGGTTATTTAGTGCTCGATGACTATCATTTATTTTAAGGCAGCCCGCCCTTCACTTGTTATTTTTTCATTGCTATGATTTTTTTTTTTTTTTTTTTTGCAGACAAAGAATTTCAGTTTCCCTGAATTGGTGAGTTTATCCAGTAGCTAACTTTAGTGTTCATAACTTGTTAATTTTCTATATCCACCCCCCCCCCCTCCCCTTTTCCTAGTGATTCATTGTATTGTAAGTATTTTTTTTGTAACATTTGAGTTCAAAAGCCTTCACTTTCTTTGCTGGTGAGTAAGTAATGGTACATGGCACGCGTGAGTGTGGTGTTAAAGAAAAGACGCTCGTTTGCACTCAAAATTTTTATTTCTATATTTGCTCTTATCCTTAAAATATTTGTGTCGCTTATTTTCTACATATCTAGGACTAGTATTATTGTAACGTATGTTGATTATTCCACATTGTTGCTAAATCTGAATCCGTCTTAGAAAAATAAACAATCAATCGCCTGCTTAAATTAGCAGTGTGTATATGACGTAGCTCATCAAATGGCAGGTCCTTCCTCAATAACGCCTCTCGTTCCTGGACAGCCCTGACTCAGAACAGTATAGAAGTATTCCACACTTGTCTTCCCACAGGTGCCTTTCACCATAGTCGACGTGATCTTCAGGATCCACTGCATTAGGCTGTGCTCTAGACATGTGCACACCAACGAGGTGGTGTCTGAGATGTCAAACTCGTCTAACTTAGGCAGGTAGATTAATGCCAGGGGCAGACGGGTTAGCTTCGTATTTCGAACCTGTAGCTCAAGCAGATGCGGTAGATTCTTAAAAGCATCATCTGTAATTCTCACAAGAGGGTTGTTATTCAAAAGTATGTACGTTATGGATGCGTTCACCGGGAAACTGGTGTTGGTAATTTCCGTTAATTTATTGTTTTCCAGCTCCACCCCGTGGGTGCTTGGGGGAAAACCCACAGCTTCCAGTTCGGTGATGGAGTTTGATCCAGCAAAGAGCTGCGAGACAGAATTCATCGTGCACAGGAATCTAGGAAGTCGCGGCAAATTATTGCTTCCTAACTTCACCTGGTCTAATCCTGGAGGCAGAGATCCTGAGTTGGGGTCAGATAATCGGTTATGTCGGAAATCAATATCAGAAATCAGCGTCAGGATGTTCAAATCGGGGAATGAGGTCAGTTGGTTACTTGATATTTCAAAATCAACCAGTGTGCTTCCATAGGGCTTGAGGACATTGCTTAACTCTTTAGAATCGTGCAGTTTGTTTCCGTTTAAGGACAATGATCTGAGTTTACTCTTCTGGGGTAAATATGTGGCGTTAGCGATCTTATTTTTATCTAAAGCTAATAGCTGGAGAGCGGTGAGCTTAGAAATTGCAAAAGGTACTATGGTTAAGCTGTTATTATTTAGAGTTAGGTCCGTTAAAGTATTGATCATGCTATCTAAACCATTGTCAGGAATATCTTTGATAGATGCTCCACCAATCCCGAGATCCGTTAAGTTTGTGAAATACTGTAACCAAGTAGGCCATGTTTTTACGGGCACGTTTTCAATGGATAATGTCCCTAAAAACGATCCTATGTGTTTCATGGCCTTGTCATTCCAATCCTCAACGATGCTTTCAGTGATCTCCAAGAAGTTGAGAACGTTTAAATGAAGAAAGGCGTCCGGCAGTTTGATAAAATGCGCCTGGGAAAAGGTGAGGGAAGTTAAGGTGTTTTCTGATCCGTCAAAGGCGTCGTCTTCTATTGTGGTTATCGGGTTTACTACGAAAGAAATATCGGTTAGGTTGGCTGGAAGGCTTCCTCCGGTTATTGTGGTGATATTATTACTCTGAGGAAAATATCAACAAAATTTGTTTAAAATATGCTCGTTTCATTCAGCAGGGCATAATCACTAACTGTTATCTTCTAGCACGGTGGAAAGAGGGAGGGGGAGGGTTCTTCGTACTGGTGTAGGAGGTGCGAGGAGGTTTTTTTTTTTCTAAATTGGGTGGGGGGACCTTCATACGCAGGTAAGGGGTGCGAGGAGGTTTCAAAGGGGCGGGGGAGGGGGGGGGGGGTTTCGCGTCAAGCAATTTTGAAATTGTGCGCAATTGTATTAGCAATACTTCGTTATATAATATTTTATTTTCAGTTTAGTTATAAACAAAATAATAAAATATTTTTAAAACTGTTTATAATACAAAAAAAGCCAAGGACATTCTTTTTTTATTATAGGCAGTTTGTACATACATAATTAAAAATTAAAAATGATTACCCGGGTATTTATAGATTATGAGCACATTCTGACCAAAACGTATCTTCATACAGTTTCTCTCGTTGCAGAATCTATTGTCCTCTTTTAGACACATTTTGTTATGATGGAGGGGGGACAGGGGTCTTGCAATATACCCAAGGGGCGTGGATGTCTTGCCATATACTCAAGGGGGACGTGGGAGTCTTGTCATATACTCAAGCGGAACGTGGGAGTCTTGTCATATACTCAGAGAGGGGAACGTGGGAGTATTGCCATATACTCAAGGGGAACATGGGAGTCTTGCCATATACTCAAGGGGAACGTGGGAGTCTTGTCATATACTCAGAGAGGGGACGTGGCAGTCTTGCCATATACTCAAGGGGAACGTGGGAGTCTTGCCATATACTCAAGGGGAACGTGGGAGTCTTTCAATATAGGAGGGGACGTCTTGTCATATACTCAAGGGGGAAGTGGGAGCCTTGTCATATACTCAAAGAGGGGACGTGGGAGTCTTGCCATATACTCAAAGAGGGGAAGTGGGAGTCTTGTCATATACTCAAAGAGGGGACGTCAGTGTCTTGCCATATACTCAAGGGGAACGTGGGAGTCTTGTCATATACTCAAAGAGGGGACGTGGGAGTCTTGTCATATACTCAAAGAGGGGACGTGGGAGTCTTGTCATATACTCAAAGAGGGGACGTGGGAGTCTTGTCATATACTCAAAGAGGGGACGTGGGAGTCTTGCCATATACTCAAGGGGGAAGTGGGAGTCTTGTCAAATACTCTTAGGGGACATGAGAGTCTTGTCATATATTCAAAGGGGACGTGGGAGTCTTGACATATACTCAAAGGGGACGTGGGAGTCTTGCCATATACTCAAAGGGAACGTGGGAGTCTTGCCAAGGGGGACGTGTGAGTCTTGCATATACACAAGGTGGACATGGGAGTAGTTGCCATATACTCAAGAGGGGGGGGGGAGTCTTGCCATGAGAGTCTTCTATATTATATCAAGGGGGCATAGGGGACTTGCCATATAGCAGTATGCTCAATACACCTGAATACGTAGAAAAGGCTCATTTTTTATCAAGAGGGACGGCTCTTTTTGCCATACGAAATGCTGGGGAATTGTTAAGGGGACGGCTGTGTGTTGCTATACTGTTGTTCTTCAAAATGGAGCCCTGCAACCCCCACGAAGAAATGCTTGTTAGGGGCTTTGTGTCTATCTGTTGTTCTTCAAAATGGAGCCCTGCAACCCCCACGAAGAAATGCTTGTTAGGGGCTTTGTGTCTATCTGTTGTTCTTCAAAATGGAGCCCCGCAACCCCCACGAAGAAATGCTTGTTAAGGGCTTTGTGTCTATCTGTTGTTCTTCAAAATGGAGCCCCGCAACCCCCACGAAGAAATGTGTTACTGAATTCAAAAGAGTAGTGTTATTTACTGGACAATGAATAGGGCACTGGAACAGAAAATAATTACCTGTTAAATGGGCTGTCTCTCTCTAAGGTCAGTAACAACACAAAAAGGAACAGGGATCGAATACCAGAATTAGTGAGAACGCTGGAATAAAACAGAATCTGAATTATACTGACAGACACACAATTAACTGATTCGGCCATCTAGTGAGAATGCAGCCAGACCAAACTGCTCATCAGATTTTTTTTTTTTTTTTGAACAGCAGAACATCAAGAAGGAAAGCCAGGGGGAAAACGAAGAAAGAGATGAATAAATGCTGTACTGAATCTATCATATAAGACACCAGGAAAGCAGACTGAAATGTCACGATACTGGGCTACAATCTGATGTCAGTGAGACGACAGAAAAATAAGAATAAAGTATTGTCTTGAGAAATATAGCATAAAGATTGCCGGACTTACATCAAGTTGTAGAGATGTATAGTACATGTTCTGTTTAATTGTCGTCAGTGGCATGGCTGATAGTCCAAGATCGTTGCACATGATTACTGTCTGGCCGCAAGAACACTCCTGGGGGAAAAAACCAGAACCGAGCAGAATATTTCAAACACTCAACAGGCAGATTTGGTATAACTTATATTGAAGTGTCAACATCATGACACATGGGCAGTAACCCATAAGTGTTCCGTTCTTTCTTCTAACTCAATTCTGAGTGCGAAGAAGCTCAGCACAGTGCACAGTTACAATCCGAACCCTTACCAGGGATTGAAGCCTGAACCTCTAGCACTCGAGGCGGACACTACGCCTCGAGACCACTGATATTCGCACTGGACACCTATTACAAACTTCGCACACTGTAAAGACACAAGCGAGAAAAGACTAACTCACTTTTAATAAATTCTCTATTTTTTTTTTTTTTTACTTTTTTGCAATTGCTGTTTAATTAAAAATTTTGAAACACAAATAAAGTATTTTATATGAATGGCGCTTTAACGCCATTTTGAAAACGCTGGAGACATATATGCACAGTACCGAGCGAGAAGCATCGCTTTAGAGATCCCTGCTGGTTAGAGTACTTCGGATGTTTTCTCTATTTGAAAGTAGATTTTATAAATTTTGTTTTTATTTGATTATTGTCTTATAAAGCTACATTTTGTTTTACCTTCTCAACAAACCTTCATTTTTACAATTCTATAAAAAATATTTAAAAACATCTCTAAAGTAAAAAAACACTACACCTGTATCTCTACATCTAATTAAAGTTCACGCATCCATCATCTGTTTTTCTATACCTAAATTTGTTTTTGAAACTTTCTTATTCTAAGTACATATTGTGTTTTTTTTTTTTAAGATGGCGGCTATTTGCATGGCAACCATGATGTTTTTTTTTTAACTGAGAGTATGCAAATGAATTACCATATATGACCATTATAAAATAATTGGTCTAAAACTGTAAATTTAAAAAAAAATTTTTAGTTTAGTGACCCCTTAGGAATAATGTATAAGTGCGAGATCATGCTAGGCCTGTATTCAAGAGATCATGCTAGGCCTATATTCAAGAGACCATGCTAGGCCTATATTCAAGAGACCATGCTAGGCCTAAATTCAAGAGACCATGCTAGGCCTATATTTAAGATATCATGCTAAGCCTATATTTAAGACATCATGTTAGGCCTATATTTAAGAGATCATACTAGGCCTATATTTAAGTGATCATGTTAGGCCTATATTTAAGAGATCATGCTAGGCCTATATTCAAGAAATCATACTAGGCCTATATTTAAGAGATCATGTTAGGCCTATGTTTAAGAGATCATAATAGGCCTATATTTAAGAGATCATGCTAGGCCTATATTTAAGAGATCATGTTAGGCCTATATTTAAGAGATCATACTAGGCCTATGTTTAAGAGATCATACTAGGCCTATATTTAAGAGATCATGTTAGGCCTATATTTAAGAGATCATACTAGGCCTATATTTAAGAGATCATGTTAGGCCTATATTTAAGAGATCATGTTAGGCCTATGTTTAAGAGATCATGCTAGGCCTATATTTAAGAGATCATGCTAGGCCTATATTTAAGAGATCATGTTAGGCCTATATTTAAGAGATCGTGCTAGGCCTATATTTAAGAGATCATACTAGGCCTATATTTAAGAGATCATGTTAGGCCTATATTTAAGAGATCATACTAGGCCTATAAGAGATCATACTAGGCCTATATTTAAGAGATCATGTTAGGCCTATATTTAAGAGATCATGCTAGGCCTATATTTAAGAGATCATGTTAGGCCTATATTTAAGAGATCATACTAGGCCTATATTTAAGAGATCATGCTAGGACTATATTTAAGAAATCATGTTAGGCCTATATTTAGGAGATCATGCTAGGCCTATATTTAAGAGATCATGCTAGGACTATATTTAAGAGATCATGTTAGGCCTATATTTAAGAGATCATGCTAGGCCTATATTTAAGAGATCATACTAGGCCTATATTTAAGAGATCATGCTAGGCCTATATTTAAGAGATCATGCTAGGCCTATATTTAAGAGATCATTTTAGGCCTATATTTAAGAGATCATGCTAGGCCTATATTTAAGAGATCATACTAGGCTTATATTTAAGAGATCATACTAGGCCTATATTTAAGAGATCATACTAGGCCTTTATTTAAGAGATCATACTAGGCCTATATTTAGGAGATCATGCTAGGCCTATATTTAAGAGATCATACTTGGCCTATATTTAAGAGATCATACTAGGCCTATATTTAAGAGATCATACTAGGCCTATATTTAGGAGATCATGTTAGGCCTATATTTAAGAGATCATGCTTGGCCTGTATTTAAGAGATCATGTTAGGCCTATATTTAAGAGATCATGTTAGGCCTATATTTAAGAGATCATACTAGGCCTATATTTAAGAGATCATACTAGGCCTATATTTAAGAGATCATGTTAGGCCTATATTTAAGAGATCGTACTAGGCCTATATTTAAGAGATCATGTTAGGTCTATATTTAAGAGATCATTCTAGGCCTATATTTAAGAGATCATGCTAGGTCTATATTTAAGAGATCATGCTAGGCCTATATTTAAGAGATCATACTAGGCCTATATTTAAGAGATCATACTAGGCCTAAATTTAAGAGATCATGTTAGGCCTATATTTAAGAGATCATGCTAGGCCTATATTTAAGAGATCATGTAAAGCCTATATTTAAGAGATTATGTTAGGCCTATATTTAAAAGATTATGTTAGGCCTGTATTTAAGAGATTATGTTAGGCCTATATATTTAAGAGATCATGTTAGGCCTATATTTAGGAGATCATGTTAGGCCTATATTTAAGAGATCATGTTAGGCCTATATTTAAGATATCATGTTAGGCCTATATTTAAGAGATCATGATAGGCCTATATTTAGGAGATCATGTTAGGCCTATATTTTAGGGACCATGCTAGGCCTATATTTAAGAGATCATGCTAGGCCTATATTTAAGATATCATGCTAGTTCTATATTTAAGAGACCATCCGCACTCCGTGGGTGATGTGGTGAGTATCACACCGGCCGCGTTTACTTCCCAGAACTTTACCTTTTTTAGGTTGAGTCGACCTAAGAGCCAGTCATTTTTGATCAAATCCGACTCGATGCAGAGTGAAACCCACGACCATGAGGTCCGCGGGCGAGCGTCTAACCGCTACACCACCTCGGCTCCCTTGTTCCACCTACCAGCCCAAAAGCATTTCCACTGCCTCGATTTGGAATTCTGCCTGTGATCCTTCGATCTTTAACTGATTTCTATCCTGGGGAGAGTGCGTAGAAGTTTCAAGGGTGAATTTTGAAACTGAGTACATGTGTACTTGTGCTGGTACATACATTATGTGTTTTCGTGTATTTACCTTATTACCTTTAGCCTTGCTCTCTTGTAACTCACTATCTTGTACTCACTGTCTCGTACCTCATGTCTTGTACTCACTGTCTTTTACCCCACGTCTCGTACCTCACTGTCATTTACCTTACTATCTTGCACCTCAATATCTTGTACCTCACTGTCTTGTATCACCCTGTCTTCTCTCACTGTCTTTTACCTTACTGTTGTGTACCTCACTATCTTTTACCTCACTGTCTTGCATCTCACTGTCTTGTCTCCCACTGTCTTTTACCTCACTGTTGTGTTCCTTACTGTCAGATACCTATACTGCCTTATATCTCATTGTTTTGGAACTCAGCATGGTTGTACCTGTGTCTTCATTTGTTGGATCTGAGCTGATCAGAAGCTGAGGGGTGGAAATGGATACGGGACTTTGTTGACAGTAACAGACTGCGTTATTGTTCTGCTGCAAATAACTTTTCTTGTAAACTAGTATTATTTAGTACTTTTGTATGCAAGTCAAATTCTCAATAAACATGTAAAAGTGTGTCATTATCAGTAACAAGTTGGCTGCAGTAAAGGCTAGAAAAACAATACTGTGCTGACCGAATTAAATGTACTTTGTGATTAGAAAGAAAGAAAGAAAGAAAGAAAGAAAGAAAGAAAGAAAGAAAGAAAGAAAGAAAAGAAAGAAAGAAAGAAAGAAAAGAAAGAAAGAAAGAAAAGAAAGAAAGAAAGAAAGAAAGAAAGAAAAGAAAAGAAAGAAAGAAAAAGAAAGAAAGAAAGAAAGAAAGAAAAGAAAGAAAAGAAAGAAAAGAAAGAAAGAAAGAAGAAAGAAAGAAAGAAAGAAAGAAAGAAAGAAAGAAAGAAAAGAAAAAGAAAAAGAAAGAAAGAAAGAAAGAAAAGAAAGAAAGAAAGAAGAAAGAAAGAAAGAAAGAAAGAAAGAAAGAAAGAAAAAAGAAAGAAAGAAAGAAAAAGAAAGAAAGAAAGAAAGAAAGAAAGAAAGAAAAAGAAAGAAAGAAAGAAAAGAAAGAAAGAAAAGAAAGAAAGAAAGAAAGAAAGAAAGAAAGAAAGAAAGAAAAAGAAGAAGAAAGAAAGAGAAAGAAGAAAGAAAGAAAGAAGAGAAAGAAAGAAAGAAAAGAAAGAAAGTCAAAACATTCACGAAATACATAACTCGCAAGTTCATCTGTCCAGAATTCAAGATTAGCCTTGTGATTGCCACGGTTACGTTAAATTTATCACGTGCTCTTATTGTTTACATAACACAGAAGAGTTCAGTTTTAATGAGATGGCTACGGCCAGTTTTAATAAACATCTATTCAGTGTGTGGTAAATAATTATGAAGGCACAATCTTTATCACCTACATATTCAGAGTCAAGCAAATAACGTCATATCGAAGAATTAATTATCTTATCTTGGCTGATACTAAAACAGGATCGCCACTCGTTTGTGCGCGGAACCCTTTGAGACATGTTAGGCTATTCTGTTTTCAGACTTCACGCCTAAAATGGAGGATTAGGCAATTGCAGACTGTTAAGCTTCGTTATTTTTGCTTTCGACAGCGCTTTGCTCATGCATTTTCAACATATGGACGTTAGTCTATGGTTTCGAAGCCTGAGCTACTGAGGTTAGTGTAAGGTTTGTTTTTTTTTTTTGTGTGTCTGTGTGAAATGCCTTTCAACTGTGCAGCGATTGTGTCATGGTATTCAATATGACCGGTTTACATGTGAGCTGGTGAAATACCTTATGTAATAATTCTACGTGTGTATAGCTAACATATCGTGCCTGACTACTTCCATTAACGACAAACTGCATTTCTGGTGGCGACTGTTGGCTTTGGCGAGTCTAGCAACTGTAATATGCATTTACTGTGTGTGCATGTTTCTGGATTGTCCCGAGACTAATTGTTGACCAGTTTTTCAAATGTGACAGTGAGGGACATTTCATTTGGTTTTCACTGGCACAGAAACGGAGCAAGTATGGGGCAAACCCGATTGCTGTGAAGTTGAAACCTTCCTTGGCTAAGATTAAATCTGTTTTCAATCTGTCTTTTTCAACAGGTGTTTTAAGGATCGAAACGGTCTTGTATCAATTCACTAGTACAGCGGCAGAGAAAGAGAGGAAGGGGGGGGGGGGTACCAACAGCTGTTTTTAGTAGGTTTTTCAAACGTTGCATGACATCGTTGCCTCGAAATGCTTACTGGATAAACAATAAGTGCTCGCCATCAAGTAGCCCTCAGAAGGGCTCCCCTGTAGTGTTGGACTGCTTCCCACTATCCACCTTACGGGTGACCGGGCCTCCCATTTGTGGACCAGTAAGCTACCAGGGGGTCGATGAGTTAGTTTGGTCTACGTTCCAATTCCAGTTCGTATTTGATAAACAAAAATTCCAAGCTTAGGATCCTCTTTGAGCCGCCCGAGGGCCTGCTATATTGAGGACTGTTTCTTTGCTATCTTAGATAAATTTCGTTTATTTGTGGCGATCAGTTTTGCCTGAATTTGTTTCTCTGCGTAAAAGAGACGTGGTCTGGCTTAGCGGCTTTTGATAGGGCGGTTTTTCTTGGCGTTTGGGAGGGGAGTCCGTTAGTCCTGAAAAGGACTAACAGTTTGCCTGGGCCTGTCTCCATTCAGACCGAGAGTCCTTTTAAAGCCTTCTGTTCTGGCCCTTTTGAAGCACGTCTAAACGTACATATATATATGGTTACCATGACAACAGTAGATAGGAAATGCATTTAAGAAAGTAAATGTATAATAGCTAGAGCAAAGACAGTATATCACAAAAGAAAGAATATATTGTACAATCTTTCTTTGTCGGATTATGTGGGAAAGATCATTTGTAACAGCTCTATACTGGTAGTTGAAATACAGATAACATTAACTTAATCATGCACTTGTTATGGTGTGTGAGAGAGAGAGAGTCAAAGAGAGAGTGTGTGAGATAGAGAGAGAAAGTGTGTGTATGTATGAGAGAAAGATAAATATATAGTGTTTGAGAGATAGAGAGAAAATGTGTGTGTGAGGGAGAGAAAAAGTGTGTGCAATAGAGAAAGTGTGTGTGTGTGTGTGTGTGTCTATGTGTCTGTGTGTAATTAGAAAAAAAAATTCAAATATCAGTTTACAAGAGTATTTAAGATTTGTTTGTGTGTGGGGGAATTCATGTGCAGCCGAAACTTTCTTGAAATATACTCCTTTTTAACTGACACAGAAAAAACCACTTACCGTCTCCTCACATGCAAAAATAAACTATTCTTTAAATGGAATTACAATAACAATTACATAAATTCGTTTAGTCACAAGATAAGATATGTTCATACGTACGGTGTCATTTGTGTGGCTTCGTTATCTATCCATATGTTTCCACACACGCTTAAAAATGTTAACAGCGTTGATGATTAACGGTACAAAACAAGGTTTGTTTTTTGTCCTAAAGTGAACTAATTGTTCTGTAAGGTCCTTTTGCTGGTACCGTTCTTAATCACTACTTGCATCATAGGCGTGTTGCCAGTTTGCAAGACCGTGAAACCCCTTTCAAACAGTGAACTCTCTGGATTCGTCATCAGTGTCCAAAACAGGATACGCCGTTGATACTGTTTGGACTTTTTTTTGCCATTTTTCACGTGAGGTGTTGATCATGATGCTCTTTGTAAATATACTTCTTCTTCTCCTTCGTTTCTCGTACTGATACCAGATTGTAGCCCAGTAGTGTGGTTTTCGTCGACTCTGTGGCTAAGTCGATGCGAACGCTTCGCAATGCCGGGATGCCGGGTTCGATCCCAGCCATGCGCCTTACGTTGGTTTCGACAGTGGTATCAAGAAAGCCGGCCGTCCAGTAGGCAATGGCAAACTACTGGACGTAACTTTGCCTGGAAAAACTACACAACAGCCATAGGCTGTTGGGGTTGGTTCTGCAACGTCCTGTAAAGGATACGCAAATAACCTAGTGTGGTTTTCCTATGTTTGTCTTGCGCTTCTCGGGTGGCTTGGGTGATGGATTTGTTAACTCTATTTGCAGGTTTCAGATGTTTGCTGTAAAATGTCTCATATGCAGTTTGGTCTGGCTGCATTCTCATTAGATGGCTGATGAATATTGATGATGATGATGATGAAGACGTCGATGACAAAGGAGACAGCGACAGCGGAGACAGCCGTGGTCTCTTGGCTTTATCTTGATCGTGATTTTTTTTTTAAAAGTCTCAGTCTCTAATCTACGAACTCGACGTACAATGCTGGGAGTTTTTGCGTTTGTGTTTTGCTGGCATAGTGTAACAACTAGCTACATCAGAAATGTGTGTTTCTGTGTTGTTGGGAACATGACAAGCTATTGACAGGTATGAGGTGTGTTCCATTTTAGTATTTCGTAATCTATTTAACATTTTAGTCATTGGATTTTTAGTCAGTATTTATTTCCTGCTTGAATCTTTGTTAACAAGTATCATGACATTCCTTATGCAAATCATAAATGTGTGATTGGAAGGTGGGTCACATTCCATTACAACATCAGGAAACTTTTCTAGTATTTCATGTCGTAGTCTTTCACCGCCTGTAGAAGAATTGGGGTCACTAGTTTTTCTTGACTGTCAGGGTTCTAAAGTTTTTCGGTGTTGGCGACTATTTTTCTAAAATGTTTGGTAATCATATCATTGAATAAGTTAACACACCTCTTAAAAAAAGTTCTGTATCAGGGTGCCACCACTTTTCGATAACTTCTTGCGTTTCCAACCACACGGTCGAAAGATATTTAGACATTCTTCCAGCTTCCACTTCTTGCTACCAGGAAGAATTCTTCTGCATTTTCTTCATTCTGCTGTTAGTAAAGGAACTGAAGCTCTCGCGTTGTCAGCTCAGTCCCGTGATTGGCACGCGCCAGATGGTCAATATTTCAATCGGCGTTCCAGTTCCAAGCCAAAATTTACTTGATAATTTCGTTCAGATTCCAACGTTATTAGAATTAGATAAGTTCGAATACCGAGGTACTGCTGTAGTTATTGTAGACAAAGCATACGTGGAATGATCAGTCGATTAAAGACACGCATCCAGCAGTAACTGTTATTTTGACTATTTAACTTTTATGCTACGTCTTCAAAGGGCTTGTGTGTTCCAAAAAGTAGGCTAACCGTAGCTTAGCTGAGTGATGTTTAACCTCACAAGGACCACACAAGGAGTAACGAATACCCAATGACACAAACTATCCCTTTTCGGATGGGAGACCACCCGGACACAAGTCCCAGAAAACCCGATAACAGTTAGGTTAAATTAGGGTCTCTGACAACAGCCGGGTTAGGGGCGAGGATCTGGTAGCCAAGCTTCTCGTGGGTCTGTTATGTTAGACAGGTCAATGGATGGGAACAAGGTAAAGAGAGAATAAGGTCAATAAACAGGTAGTTCAGTGTGAGACGTGCGTTTAACGGCTATGTCGTCTCTTACACTTTCAGTTTCCAAAGAAGAGTGCATTATTTTACTTTTTAACTTTACTGTGTCAATGCGAACGCTTCGTAATGCCTGGGTGCTGGGTTCGATCCCAGCTGCGGGTCATGCGCCTTGAGTTAGTTTCGACGGTGGTATCAGGGGGTTGACCGTCCAGTAAGCAATGGCAAACTACTGGACGTAAATTTGCCCTAGATAAACTACACAACAGCCAGGGGCTGCTGGGGTTGTTTCTGCAACGTCCTGTAAAGGATGCGCACCTAACCTTAATCTTATTAATTGCAAATATGTCACTAATTTTACTAATCGAACATAGCGAAAAGGTCGCTAGCTGCATGCAAGATGCTTACACAGATGCTGCAACGTGTGAAAGCTACCAGTTACTATCACTACAGTGATCATTGCGCATGCATACTCAGTCAACATCAAAGCTATATCACGTTATATCCTTTTCAGTGACGATATTACCTGCTGACACTTGCATACGTCAATTGATCACGCCTCGCCACAGCGGCAGTTTGTCTCCTCCAGTGTTGCAGTCCTGCAAAATTAATTCCCTAAGGATGAGAATTCTACATGTAGAAATTTTTGGAAGCCCCATTTAATCACATTAACAGTTTTCCTCGAAGCCTCGACGGTTGCTTGGTAATCTAAAGTCCGAACCAGGGCAGGAAAATGATAAGAGAGAACAAAACATTCTGTCTTCTGTGTAGACTTCATCTATACTAAGGGAAGCAACCCTTTAAAAAATGCTTGAGCGAGGGGGTAAAAATATCATGAGTCATCGGCTGGAATAATCTGTCATTAACTCCCTTTATTAAGACATACACAGATAGATCTATAGGGGAAGGTAATATGAAATTCAAAATATAGTCTATTTCAAAAGTCGTGCGCTCAATCTTTAACAAATATCTTTAAAACTCATGTACGAATCAAAACTAATTTGTACGTGTAATCTTAGATTTCCCGTTTCCTTATGATTTAGTGTGAAGTATTCCCCATGTGGGATGCAATTTTTTTATTTGAAGCCCCACCCTGGCTTCTCCCGGGAGCTCTGAATATAGCCGGGCCATAAATATGGCCCGGCCATTGGCCCGGCCATTGATTTTGTCGATAACGCTGAAAGGGGTTTCTGGGACCTCTCCTCAGGTGATCCTCATCCACATGGTGGCACTTTGTGTCACCGGGTGCTTATCGATTGTGTTATGTCATGGTGGGATACAACTACCTACCTACCTACCTACCATTTTCTGTGTCCTTATGATTTCGCAATGTTTAATTGTACAGGGGCTACTGTTGTCTTGAAACGGAGA